AAACTTAACGGCAGCATAACGGTTTAACCCTTTGAACGCCAAAGTTGCAAAATCGCAAAAAAAAAAACAAGACGTCATAGTTAAAACAGGTTGTAGATCCTGATGTGGTGTGATATCTCATTTTTATCCCCTACCACTAGATGGCAGACATGTAATAGTTCGATTCAAGATCAAAATGACGTCATGCTTCTATTCAAAGTGTTGGAGGAAGCAGCCGAGCAAGTGAGCGATCGTGTCATTGGTGCGGAAGCAATTCAGTTCAGAGCGTCTGAGTAAATTGTGAGATTTGTGAGAGAAAATCGTCAAATGACTAATAAAAACTTGTACCGTGAGGATCTGTTGCAAATGTTATTCGCCGATTCTGACTCTGAAGTAGGGATGTTAACCGATGACCGTTTGATCGATGGTTGACCGTATCAACACCGTATTACGTATTAACCGATCAAAGTTGTCGGTAGTTGGTTAAAAAAAAAAAAAAAAAAGTATTTGGCGCGAGGGTTTGCACACTCTCAACATTTGCGAAAGGTAAAGGCTTCAGGCTAAAACACTTGAGGTTAGAGCCAGGGCAGACGACAGAATAAAGCGTGCAAAAAAAAAATAGTGTGTGGGAATATTTCACCTAAAAGAATGACACAGATTTAAGTTGCTGGGCTTAGATTTGGAAATACATTACATCTATATTTCAGTGGTAACAGATAAGGTGATGATGATCATCATCTTTCTTTATTATTGTTAGCACTAACGTTACCGTTACCTCAAACCAGAGGTGGGGACAAGTCACACATGGTCAAGTCCAAGCAAGTCTCAAGTCTTAACCATCAAGTCTCGAGTCAAGTCTCAAGTCGCAGTTCAGATAAATCAAGCAAGTCAAGTCAAGTCAAGGGTTCACCCTAAGCAAGTCAAGTCAAGTCCTGATAAGTTTCAAGTAAAGTCAAGTCACACTACTAAAATAAATAGAGGTAAATTTTTTCGATACATATTTATTTTTGCACAGAAAAGATGAACTTTTATACATATATTATGTATCTTACATTTGCTATATTAATCATATGCATATCTGTGCTACATTAATATCTGAAAATAAAATAGGGGGGCGGGGGTTAATGTTATATTAACATATTTAAAATATGTTTAAAATAAATATAAAATAAAAATGGTAATATGTTATATTAACATATTTTATATTTAATAAATATTACATATTAAATAATATTATGTATATTATATATTAAATTTACATAAATATTAACAAATGATTGTTTTAATTATGGAATTCTCCATAATTAACTCCTAAACTTCAGTAGAGAACAATTCTTTGTAAGGAAGGAGGGGTTTCTTTATTGTACATTTATTTGCATGTAGTATGTAGCATATGGTTTGCGTTGCTTTAAATTGGTCAGTACAGCGCTGACTATTGAGTGTCTCTAGGAAACACGTCCGCGCTGCGCTGACGAATCGGCTGCGCGGCTCGGATCATTGAACCGTGCAGATGACATGTCTGCACGGCACGAGCTCTGTAAAGCCCCGCTGTCTCGTCCCACTTTTGGTTTGTTTGGCTTCCCATATCTCTGCCGTGCACACGCCGCACGCTATGTATGTTATACGCGCAGTATCTCGCTCTAGATTCCGGGAGATTTTAACTCATTTGCGGGCATCAGGGAGACGCTATCAATATGCGTGAGACTCCCGGAACTTCCGTTTGGCGCGGTTTGAATTGAGCAGCGTAAAGGCACAGATGCCGATATATTGATGCTGACGTCAAAATATATATTTTAATTAACTGTATTGCTGTTTGTTTATTATATGTTCAAGTCATTGTCGAGTCTTCCACTTCAAGTCAAGTCAAGTCTCAAGTAACTTGTTCTCAAGTCAAAGTCAAGTCAAGTCATTTTTGTACTTTAATCAAGCAAGTCACAAGTCCTGAAAATTGTGACTCGAGTCAGACTCGAGTCAAGTCATGTGACTCGAGTCCCCCACCTCTGCCTCAAACTAAAGCGGCGTCTCTTCGGAGCTGTCAATTTTCTTAAATGCGCCACGGCAATGTTTCAAATGAGCTTCTAACGCTAGACTAACGCCTTTATTTTCAACGCGATCACCTTGTAGCCAAACAATTTTGAAACTAAAAAGGAGCCATTTGTCCTCCGATTACATACAAACTCCTTGGCGCCGTGTTTGCGGGACTCATGTTTCACGCGGTATGGAAATTTAAAAAAAGTGGAAGGGTGGCGCCAGGGCAGTGTGTGTGTGTGTGTGTGTGTGTGAGTGGGAGGCAGAGCAGCAGAGAGAGACTGAGTTGTGAAATTGCAGGCGTGGCTCAAAATGGCTGTTATTTCAAGTAGCGTAGCATATTTTAAACCAATCGGTTAACCGGTTTCAACCGACTAATGAGGCTCGGTGGTCGGTCATGAAAATTTTTAGTTTTTGCCATCCCTACTCTGAAGGGGAATATTTACCTTTTGTAAATGACGATTGGCCATCTAATGATCACGCTTCTCCAGGTACATCTTTGCCGCGCAATGGTGCCGCCCGCGCGTCTTCCGGTACAACTTTGCCATGCGCACTTCTCTCGGTACATCTTTGCCGCGCAATGGTACCGTGCATGCTTCTCCCAGTACGTCTTTCCCACGCAATGCGCGAGTGTTCACGAAGCACAAACAGATAATTTTCCGATCATTTGAAATGAGGATAAAAAAATAAGAAAAAAAAGCATGTAAATAAATTCCAACATCAATTCAATATCTACTATTTCCTGAATATTACTGATGAACTTATCAAAAAGTAGGCTACTGTTCACATGCGTTTTACTACTATATTGTATAGTAATAATTTAGTACTTTCTCCTGTTATTGTTGGTTTCCTCTTTTCTCATCATTTGGAATGAGGATATATATATATATATATATATATATATTTTTTTTTAATAAACATGCAAAGAAGTTCAAACATCAGTTCAATAACTACTATTTCCTGAATTACATCATAATATGGAAATTAGATGAGTATATCTACACCCCACATAAACTTTGTCATCCCCAACATTTTTCTAATTTTCAGTAGATCTCTATCTTTAAGCTCAAGCCACAAAATTTTGAAATTTTGATGTCAAAATCCAGCATTTTTAAAAAAAAAAAAAATCTTTAAGCTCAAGCCACAAAATTTTGAAATTTTGAGGTCAAAATCCAGCATTTAAAAAAAAAAAAAAAAAAAAAAAAAACCTTGGCGCCTAAAGAGTTAATCATCGTCTACAAAATAGAAAGCTTTGTTGATTAACTAAGAGAATGTTTAATTACAATTTCCTGTTAGAAATTACATCAAAAGTAGAAAAAGTTGGTCAAAAACGTACATTCAGGGTGTGTTCGTTCTTGATTGTTTTGGTTAGATTAAAACAATTTCTGGTACAATTGCTCCGTTAGTGTACTTCACTTGAATAAGTGTGAACGCGGCCATCCGAACCCTGATGCGCAAAATTTGAGTCTCAGCCCACTTCCAAATGAACTGCGTTTCGACTGAAATATGACAGACTAAAGACAGCTAAACAAACCAAAAACAGGACGTGATGTCACAATATGTTACCCTAAAAAGGTCGTCATAGTCATGAAGTTGTCCAATACAGATCAGGTATGGGATCAGAATGGCATCATGAAGCAGATCTTCATTTGTGTGTAATGAAACAATTTCTGGTGCTGTTTTGAGTCCTTTACACATGTTATAAGTCTTTTGTGAAATCTTAGCTGGTAAAAAAATACCATCATATATGTACGCACATACAACGAGTGCATTTATGCAACATTGTTTTCGATGCTCTACAAGTTCCGTCGTAAAATATACATCATTAAAGCTGTTTTTTTTTTGTTTTGTACATGTCAGTTCAGTGTTAAAAATGACAGTGTGAACACTAAGCAAACCAGGACTAATGTGTCAGTTTCTTATTTGAGATCTGGACCAAAAGAACCAAGAGAACCGAACTCCAAGTGTGCCAAACCACCAAGCGTATCTTTCAGATGCAGGTTTCATTTTTAAGCTCAGGAATCGGACATGAATGATCACAGGATTGTGGGATATTATAGTCAGCAAAGGGTACATCTATGCAGCCTTCAAAAAATCGATCAGATTAAACTATCTCAGTAAACAAAATGTCACACTATCATTGGATTCGAATGCCTTGTTACCTTCTTACCTCCGGCAGTATTTCTTGTAGCTTTCGGACACAGCCACAGTAACTACACCATTGTGCTGCCAACACAGCATATTTGCATTGATGGCCTTTCAAAAATAGTGTTTTATGACAAAGTAACTTTTGCCATCTTGACTCTTATTACCCATGACATTGAGCCTAGTTTGTGAGTTTGTGTTGCTGTAATTTGATTATTTTGGCTGAAGTTTACGAATATATTTTGTTTGATTTGATTGTTTGATCCATGTGCCATTGAGAAGGCATTGAGACAAATGCAAACCTTTTCTGTCTGCTTGCTTCTGTCAGGATATGATAACTCATTAAAAGCTGACCCATGGACATGCGATTGTGCATTTTTTTTTCCAAATGAGATGGAAAGAATATTGTGTGATTTGATCTGTGCCTGCTGAGAACAGAAAGGAATGAATCATGTTATCTTGAAACTATTCACGATTAAGTTTCATCTTTAAGCATGGTTTATATCATTTCATTACAGAGTGAATATATTTATTTTCATGCAATATATCAATTATCTGCTAAACTGTTTTTTTTAAGCAGTGGGAGACAAGACTATGTGTGATAAAGCATTAGAGTGCCACCTAATGGCCTGACTGACACATCACAAGCATTTGAGGGCCTCACTTTTAAAGAAAGATTTCTACGCTTAACTTTTCACAAAAGATTTGTTTGTTAGGTTTTAAATGATAAAATGATGATGAAACAAAAGTATTCAGACACTTGTAGCTGTCAAATGTTAGTGTTACATGTTCATGATCAACTGAAGTCTTTTTTTTCACCTGTAGTGACTCTGTTATGTTTTTCATAGGAGGGAAAGAAGAAATTTGACAAGGAGACGGAAAAGTACTATTCCACAATGGAAAAACATCTCAATCTGTCATCCAGAAAAAAGGAATCAGCTCTCCAAGAGGTGAATCATTCCATAAATAAGTCTATTTTTGCACTTTCCATAGGAAATACCAGCACTTACAAGAAAGAATCTTAGTAAGTTTAGGTTTTAGTCTTAATTCTCCATACCATCGTGATATTCTGTGCCCAAGACTCACAGTAGCTTTGTTATGTTTACATCACCTATTTTTAAGCACATTTTGGGTTATTGCAAAAAAAAAGTGCATTAAAGGAGTAGTTCATTAAAAAAAAAAAAAAAAAAACTTTTGCGGATAATTTACTCACCCCCATGTCATCCAAGATATCCATTTCATTTTTTCTTCAGTTGAAAAGAAATTAAGGTTTTTGATGAAAACATTCCAGGATTTTTCTCCATATAATGCACTTTAATGGTAACCAAATGGTTCCAAAAGGGCTTTAAACGATTACAGACGATGAATTCATTAATTAAACAAAATAAATTAAGTTGAAGGTTTATAAGCTCAAATGCTCGCCTTGCTCTGTTCTGTGATGCGCTTTCATGACTCTCCTGTTCGAACTCGTTTATCAAAATGAACGAATCTTTTTTTGTGTCGTTTGGTTAATTCAACGAACGAAATGAACAAATTGACTCGGAAAAAGATTTATGATTCTTCTGACTTCCATTCCTAGTGGAAATAGGACACAAACGCCCTAAACGTCGCTAAAGTCGTATTCAGTACTGGGAGACAATATTGATTCCCAAGTTTCCGAGTTTGCAGACCTTTAAACATGGCGGAGGAGAGAACGACTGCTGCTGTGACTGCTATTCTTTATTTATTTTTTCCACAACAGCTACACCACATTGTCTTGTTGTTAAATGATTGCATATTTACGTATATGAATAACCATTCAAAGCATTTTGTATGTTTTAAAAATCCAGAATCGTCAGCAAGTTACCACGGTGAAAGTTTATATGGTCAATGAATGGGACACGTTTTATTCAAAATTAAAGATCTTCAATACATTTTGGCTTTAAAAGGTTTCCCTAGGAAATAGGCAAGAATAAACCTGGTCTCCTCCATGATCTCTATTCTTTTCTTCAATAAAGCACTTTAACGTGACATAATTACGACTTCACATGTCGGAGGTAGGAAATTTTCAATAGCATGTGAAGGCAGCATAGTGGTGAGTATAAATGGTTATTATGCAAGGAAGACAAAGTCCAATCAAAATGCTGTATGCAAATCAATGCAAGTCAGTATGCAAAACAGTTTCATTTTCTTAAAAAGTGTTTACAAAATCAAATAGCAAATGTAAAACTGAAACTGTGTACACTAGGGCTGCAACTAACGATTATTTTGATAATCGATTAATCGGACGATTATTTTTTCGATTAATCGATTAATCGGATAAAAAATTATATTCCATTTTTTTTTGTTTATTATAACAAAATAAAACCCTAAAAATCACACTCTTTTGTGTGTTAAACAATCTACTTAATACAGACAACTTCATTATAAAGAAAAACAACAAATAAAAAAAATATATATGACCATAACCTATGACAAAAATGCTATTGTAAACTAGATTCGTGGATAATTCGGCAAAACTTAGCCTAGAAATATCACAAGTGCACAATAATTTTATAAAATCTGAACATTTAGTGAAAAAAAACATTCCTTAGTGGGGAACAAATAAGAGACAATAAGTGTAGCACTAACTCTGGTAAAACGTACACATTGCTCTTTGTATTGTTGTTATACATTCATGAAAAATATCGTAAAAATCAGATGCACAACTGTTTTAAATGTAAAGCACAGCTGTTTAGTGAGTAAGCAAAATATAATAGATAGGACAGAACAAGAAAGGCTATTAATAAGCTTTCATTGCGCAAAAGTATTATGACATGATCATGAAAGAGCTGCACAAAGTGCTTATGCGCATCGCGAGCGCTGAATGATGCGCTTGAAGCAACACGGAGTCACAGGGCGGCGCGCAGCTCTTCAGTGTCCGCCCCGCCGCATTAAAGTTAAAAGCACCAAAAGACTGTGTATTATACAGTATTTATGCAATAGTTTATTAAGCCTTTTCTTTTAACAGTTTTAAATTTCAGTTAGGCTACTGTGCACGTGAAGAACAATTATACTGCGCCGACTCTACTATAGTGTTGTGATCTAACAGACACTCAGTAGAAAGTGATTAAGTTACAGCAATAAAAGTCTATCAAGATAGAAAAACCATCATAGACCTTTATCTACAGATCAATTATAATAATAACATTGAATCATCTTGGAAAGAGATCATCATGTTAACTGTTGTAACGCGACGCGCTGTTTGAACACCGAATAGAGAATGACTGACAGCCGCAGTGGAGGGAAAAGCTTACGTTAACTTGAATTTAATGACTTAAATATACATTTCTATCTCACATTATACTATAGTATGGCTTCATAAAGTAAACGATCAACGTGGGTCACCTATTTTGGTTTTAAAACGGCGAATTTACCGAAAGGTGAATGATTTTCGTGTATGCTGCATATTGATAGCGGTTTCCTGATGCCCGCAAATTAAACTCAAACGGAATCAAGAGCGCGCATGCGAGACAGAAGATAATGTGATCCAAACCGTCCGTGTTGCGCGCGAGACAGGGTAGAGCGGCGAGGGAGAGAGACTGCATGTGCGCCTCATGAAGCGCATGTAAGAAGCGCATGTTCCATGTAAACAATCCCCGTGACGTAATCAGACCAACTAATCGATAATGACATTCGTTGACAACGATTTTCATAATCGATTATAATCGATTTTATCGATTAGTTGTTGCAGCCCTAGTGTACACGTTGACTTTTTTGATGACAACAGTTTTGTGATGTAATTTTATTAAATGCATTGTTAACTCTTTTTTTTTATCCTTTACTCATCCTCATGATGTTCTCAACCTGATTTTCTTCGATAAACCATGTACTTTCCACACTTTTCATTCAATTACTATAAATGGGAACGTAATAACCCACAAATCACGTGAACTTTTATAGTCTGTGGTGTTCTTTTTGAAAATTGAAAGCTTGAATTTCTCCTTTTGTTTCACAGAAAAAAAAAAGTTATATGGGTTTTAGACAACATATGAGTAAAAAATGATCAAATTTCCATTTTTTGGGTGACTAATCCTTTTAAAAACATCAGTTCCTGTTTTTTTTTTTTTTGTTAGCTTTTTTTCTTCATTCCTCTTTCCTGCTGTTCAGGGATGTTCCGATGCATTTGTTTAGCATGTTGTTACACAAATTCTCACAAAGCTAAGCCAGAAATTCTCGCATGTAACGATTAACCAAAGCCTTGGGCACATCCAAATGAGCATACAAGCCTGGCAGTCATCGCTTTCTGTCTGTCTCTGGGGTAACAGCGCTCTTTATTCATTTCCAGGCTGACGCTCAGATTGATAAGGAAAGGCAGCTCTTTTATGACGCCTCGCTAGAATACGTCTTCAAAATCCAGGAGGTTCAAGAGAAGAAGAAATTTGAATTTGTCGAGCCGGTAAGATCTTTGTGATGCGTATTATTCCTCTTATATTTAGACTTGAAGTTTCTGTCTCACAAAATGAAGCTCACAAATACACAAAAAGCCATTCTTATGCACATAAACACGAAAAAAAACAAATCAGATGCCCATCATGATGTGTAATATAATGAGAATCAAGCCATCTGGTCACTAATGGGTTTGTAGCCAACAGGAAGTAGGTTGAGAGTTTGACCACTGAAGTCATAATCACACTCTTATCATGCCAACTTAATTTCCTGTCCCACAATCACCCCTGAACTATTTAAAAAATGAAAATTCACTCATTTACTCACCATCATTTCATTCCAGACCTGTGTGACTTTCTTTATCTGTAGAGCACAAGATATTTTGAAGAATGTTCATTCCTCAAAATACCTTCTTTAATGATAGAAATACATCCAGGTTTGGAACGACACTATAGGATGAGTGAATGATGACAGAATTTTCATTTTTGTGGTGAAATCTCAATATAATCTCAAACATGTCTCGCCAAATTTATCCAGTACCAAATGATCTATGATGCATTCCACTTTCATAGTCAATGACAACATTGTCTAATTCTTTTATTTTATTGAAAATACAGTAATATGTTCATTTGAGTCTATTTTTATTTATTCTAATACATTTTTGAAGGGAACCCAGTTATAAACCAAGAATTCAAAGTTTCCTGCCATTAAAAATAGTTTTAGAGGAAGTGTTTTTACATATAGTTTTCATGTTTGTCATCTAAATCTCCACTCAGCAATTAGATCGCATAAAATACACAACAGCTGAACCTCACATATTACAGTGGACAGAATTTGCATGACTCATTCCTGCATTAAGCATATTTATATGCATAAGTGAGAGCAGTAAAGTGAGTCTGACAATGCGCTGTATAGATTTGGAGGGGCATCCACTCTGTTTATCACCAGGCATGGGGAAAACAACACTATTAATCTACAAGAAGCACCGCAGTCTGTTCTGCTCTTGAGTTTTCGGGGGTTTGACATCAGCATCTTTGAAATCTTATGCTAAAGTCACTATCAGAAAGTTAAATTGTTCCAGCGGCCAGATGGGATAACTGTAATGCTCAATAGATGTATAACTTAAAGGAGTAGTTCACTTTTCAAAAACTTTTGCTGATAATTTACTCACCCCCATGTCACCCAAAATGTCCATGTTGTTCTTTCTTCAGTCGAAAAGAAATTAAGCTTTTTGATGAAAACATTTCAGCATTTTTCTCCATATAATGCACTTCAGTGGGAACCAAACGGTTCAAGGTCCAAAAGACACTTTCAGTACAAACTGCAAACTGTTCAAAGGGCTTTAAACGATTCCAGACGATGAATATCAAGCGAAACGATCGCTCATTTAATAAATAAATAACAAAGTTTAAGTTTTATAAGTAGAGTCTTGCTCTGTTCTGTGACGCACGACACGTTTGTGACTCCTGTTCGAACTCGTTTATCAAAATGAACGAATCTTTTTCCGAGTCGTTTGGTTCATTCAACGAACGAAACAAACGAATTGACTCGGAAAAAGATTTGTTCATTTTGATGAACGAGTTTGAACAGTAGAGTCACGAACGTGCATCGCAGAACAGAGCAAGGGGAGCATTTGAGCTTATAAAACTTAAAGGACAACTCCGGCGCAAAATGAACCTTTGGTCTAATTACACATTGCTACCTAGTCAACCGTTATCTAAGATTTGTTTTCATGATTGCCGAATTTAAATAGTTTTATCTCTAAAAACAGTTTAGCCTATAACGCTAGTATAATGCTAGTATATAGGGCATAGAGTAATGACAAATAAAAATCACTTGTTATTAACACTAACAAGGCTCAAAATAGCCCCACACTAACACGACAGCATAATAAGGGTCCCTACATTCAAACCGAAGCATTGAGAACTTTGTCAGTGTCCATACAGTTTAATAAGAAGATATTTTATACACACAGTCAACTTCGCGAATACATCTTTAAAAAAAGTCTCTACCAGTCGATCTACGAACGCCGATCCAAGTGCGCTGAACTGTGCAGAATCTCACATGGTCCGTTGTTTTCGGAAGAAACACAAACACGAATTTCTTCTCTTCAATATGTACACGTAGCCTACTGTTCGCGCTCACCTTATCACCTTATTCACATCTCACCAGCGCACATGGATCGGTGTTCGTAGATCGACTGGTAGAGACTATTTTTCAAAGATGGCTTCTTCCTGTATTCGCGAAGTTGACTGTGTGAATAAAATATCTTCTTATTAAACTGTATGGACACTGACAAAGTTCTCAATGCTTCGGTTTGAATGTAGGGACCCTTATTATGCTGTCGTGTTACTGTGGGGCTTTTTTGAGCCTTGTTAGTGGTAATAACAAGCGATTTTTATTTGTCATTACTCTATGCCCTATAGACGAATCCGGCGAAACTACCGGAAGTAAGCGGGGCGCCATTACTGAGCTGTTGCTGGGTAGTGTTGCGCCATTGCCTCCTATTGTTTTAGTTGCAACTTGCGTCCACTGGAATAAACAGCTCGAGATTTACGACTGACACTAACGTTACAACGTTACCCCTTGTATAATGTCGAGTGGGTAAACAGTTTCCGTTATAAATTGTTTCAATGGTGGCAGTAAAATTTAAATTTTGAAGAGAAAACATTGTGAATACCCCGGGTCGACTGCCCCTGTCTGGTGCCGTACGGTTTACAGATTTCCTGGGCGAGTACAAGACGTGGACATTCGCGTATAATAACAATTATTTAATGACATGAGTAAAAAAAATATAATAAATATGTGATATAGTGATCAGCAAAATCTCCTCTCTTGCTATTTTTTCTATTCAATTAACATGCTATGGTCATTAAATGGCTTTCCTGAGCTAAATGTAACGTTATGTGACATAATTGTTTTCCTGCTGTTATATTGATCTCTTTCCATGGTTTAAAAACACTAATTGGTCGATATTATGTATACTTTCTAGCTGTAACGTTACCTACCCTTACGAAAATTAACCATGGTTTTACTATAGTAAAACTGTAGTTAACTATGACCGTAGTAACCGTGGTATTTTGGTGCGAACCATGGTTTTTAAAAACCATGGTTTTGATACCATGGTTTTACTACAGTAAAATTGTAGTAATACTACAGTAAAACCATAGTAACCATGACTGTAGTAACTGGTAAAAACCATGGTTTTGATACCATGGTTTTACTACAGTAAAATTGTAGTAATACTATAGTAAAACCATAGTAACCATGACTGTAGTAACTGGTATTTTTAAAAACCATGGTTTTGATACCATGGTTCTACTACAGTAATATTGTAGTAATACTACAGCAAAACTGCAGTTTTACTAAATTATCTTGAATTACATTTAAGCCATTCAATTACAACAAACACCTACAAAATAACAACAGAAAGAAGTTATCATTCTATGATACAGACTTTATTACAAAAATTACATCTGAAAGAAAATATAAACTTGCATTTGTTCTCACATGTGACATAAAACAATAATTTGACTACAAAGTTATAAAACATTATTGGTGATAAAGTGGTGCTGTACAATGGTAAAAAAAAAAATCAGTTTCTAATTCACAAATAAAAAAATAGCAATTTGTTCCACTGTAATAATGATTTATATACAAAAATAAGATAGTACAAATAAACATGACTTAGAACACCTTTAAATACACAGCATCTACCTCCTCTAAAATGTCTATAACCTGTGAACCACACCTGTCCAACACAAGCGTGATTGCAATTTATACTGTACATTCATTAACAGGATTACAGCAATATTACTTGACAAGAACAATAAATACTATACATTTAGAAGAAATGAGCAGTTCTTTTAAGAATGTTTTAAATGATATCCACTCACAAGAGATGAAGACATGGAGGGATGGGGGATGACTAATCCACACTTTAAATTCTAGGTGAAAAAGGTTTTGTTGAAAAACATGTGATGCCGCATCCACGCCAGTAGTTGTCAGTATGAAGTCTGTCATATGACAGTAGGTTACAGTCCAGCTTTGGGTTGGTTCTGTCTCGACCTTCAGCCCAAATGGACGCAGGAGCTAAAATGAGAAGAATACACACCACATTAACATACAAGCTGGAATACTCAACTGCTATTGGTCAGTTGCACTATCTGGCCAAAAATATCTGGATGTCATCAAGATCTTGTCCTGAAGAATCACAGGGCCAAACGACTATATCTCATCTGGTAACAAGAGCATAGCCATAACTTTAAAGGGCATATTGCAGGTTAGAGGACCCAACGAGTCAATGCATAGAAAAACAATGTAGGAACTAGATTTTCTTTAAAATATACGTATAAACACGCCACAGAAGCTTCTGCAGTCGTTTTTGTGAGAAAATTTTACTTCCGCGTCTGAAAATGGGCGTGGCGGGCGTGACGCAATGAGCGGGAGAGCGGTCGATTCACACAACAGGAAAACAATGAATCGCAATGACATTTCGGACGCTGAGGAAATACTCGTATGACGGATCAAGCCATAAAGTTATGAGCCTGCTATGCTAAAGAGATCAGGGACAGGCCAGGATAATGTCAGACAGAATGGTCAGAGAAAAATTGAGCTGTGATGTGAGGAGAACCAGTGGAGAACAGGACAGGTGCCTTTTAGGTGAGAGACGTGCTTATAGTATACACGTTCGCTAACGATACACTGTGCTCACAATACTGTACAGATTCTATAACAGGCCAGCAGACATTAGTATGTTTAGGGTAGATTTATATACTATTAAATGTATAAAAACTTTACTTGAGTATATTTCTATACTAAAAGCATAGGCTATACTCGGGTAAATTTTTAATACATATTTTTCACCTTGGTTATAACATAAACAGAACATTAAAGGTTTGAGTATTTAAACAACCAATTTTGTTTTTCAATTACAAGTTTTATTTAGGGCATGACATGACTAAGTTACCTATATAACACTATTTGATGCCATTGGTAGTATACGACGATCAATATTCTTGCTTCGGCATACCATGTTGAACTCCATCATATTGCCGGGATGCTAATCATTTTAACTGAAGTGAACGCTACACACGACCGTGTTTTCCGAGCCGAGAGGAGAAATCCCGTCTCTTCACCTGCTCAAACCGCACCAGGAACGAAAGATAGGCTATATAGCACAGTCACTTTTATTTTAATGGAAACTTGTGGACTCGATCTTGAAGTCCTGACAGGCTGGAGTTTTTGCAATCTCCACAAACACAATATTTACCATGACGATGATAAATTAAAATGCAAAAACTAACGATAGCACACTGACTGACGAGCGCTCTCACTGAACACCAGCCTGCTCTCACTGAGCCGAGGCTGCGGCTCCCTGCTATGACGTCAAATGACGCGACGTTGAAAAAAAAGCCGTTTTTACTAGCAGTCCAAGAAACGCTCACTTTATCTTCTAAATTAGTGTCCTTATGTTGTTTTAAAACATTTTAAATCCTGCATTAACTTTTCATATGGTATTTTCATACAAGGTTATCTATAAATTTCGATTTTTTTTTTTACCTGCAATATGCTCTTTAAGATCCCCTGAATTAAAGGGATAGTTCACTTTGAAATTATTTTTTGATATGTTTTAACTTACCTGAAGTGCATCCAAGATGTAGGTGTCTTTGTTTCCACAGTAGTTTCAATTTTGACATTTTTCGGTCAAACCGTTCTAGTCTGTCAGTCATATAATGGAGGTCTATGGTCACCACCTCAAAGAGCATGCACAGAGAAGTCCAAATTAAACATGATTAAATGACTCGTAAATGTAAGTACACACTGATGGCCTAAGACACGAAACGAGCGGTTTGTGAGAGAAAACAAACAGTATTTATAGAACAGCCATGTCCAAGTGATCTGAATTAGCTGAGCAATGTCCAACTGAACTGAACCATGTCCAACGTTCCGCCGGAAGTGATCACCTGCGCGTGTAGGTCACTCATTGTTTACACAAAGATTTTGGATGTTTTACCTTTCACTGTGAAGATCTAAACATATTTAGATATACCGAAATCGTCTTCCATTTCGATTTCATGTATATCTAAATATGTTTAGTGAAAGGTAAAACATCCGAAATCTCAGTGTAAACAATGAGTGACGTCGACTCGCAGGCGATCACTTCCAGCAGAACGTTGGACATGGTTCAGTTCGGTTCGGTTGGACATTGGATAACTGATTCAGATCACTTGGACCTGGCTGTGGATACACAAGGTAAAAACTATATAAATACGAAACGAGCGGTTTGTGTGAGAAAACGAACAGTGTCTTAGGCCATCAGTGTGTACTTACATTTACGAGTCATTCAATCATGTTTAAGTTGGACTTCTCTGTGCATGCTCTTTGAGGTGGTGACCATAGACCTCCATTATATGACTGACAGACACGAACGGTTTGAACGAAAAATGTCAAAATTGAAAATACTGTGGAAACAAAGACATCTACATCTTGGATGCCCTTGAGGTAAGCTAAAACATATCAAAAATTAATTTCAAAGTGAACTATCCCTTTAAAGAATTTCAGTATTTATCAGTAAAAAATACATAAAATAAATAAATATCTTTGCATTGAACAGTATGGTGTCTGTCTCATTGGCCAACATAATTAAAAACACACCAAGAGAAATAAAATAAAATATACCAATGACCATGATATGCTGTTATCATAATAGTTAAATTAATTATTATTATAACTATGACCATTATAATATTTGCCGCCGATAATTTATCCCACAGGTTTCTCAAGAACAGTCTCAATGAAAAAAAATTTAAAGTGTGAGACTTCATTCAAAAGCATAAATCTTACAGACCCCAACTTTTGAACAGTAGTGCACTGTATGTTTGAGGTTTTGCTTACTAATCGAGTTCATAGCCGTGGAGATTGTCTTGGACAGGGGGTGCAGCCGGACTTCAGCATGATGATCTTCTAGACTAGAACATGCAATGTGTCACAGAGCCAACAATGTTACAAAGGATTTGTAATAGGGTGTATTACAAGGAAGTAGGGGTGTAACGGTACATGTATTCGTATTGAACCGTTTCGGTTCGAGGCTTCCGGTTCGGAATGCATACAAACCGAACGATTGCTTGGACCATTTTTCCTGCCGGCAAAATTCTTGCTGACGCGGCCAACACAACATCAAATGGCAAGCGTAATGAAAGCAGAACGAAACTGCGCTACTCGTTATGTGCTTCACAGATCGTTTATCAAAGATGAGCCCCATTTATAAACCTGAAAGTTTCAAGATCTAGGAAAACCCACAATTATTTAAAAATATTTTGTCTTTAAACAAATAGGAAATTTCTCTGGCATTTCTTTCTTTTTGCTGTATCGAAAACGTAACGAACCGTGACTTTAAAACCGAGGTACGTACCGAACCGTGATTTTTGTGTACCGTTACACCCCTACAAGGAAGGATATATATATATATATACACATCTTAAGGTAATATATATTGTGAAATAATCATCTGGAATAACAATTTAACAATAATTCCCCCTTTGTTGTGGAGCAGGGGTGTCAAACTCAGTTTCTGGAGGGCCACAACCCTGCAGAGTTTAGCTTCAACCCTAATTAAGCACACCTGATCAGCTAATCAAGTCCTTCAGGCTCATTTGAAAACTGCAAGTGTGTGTGTGTGTTGAAGCAGGGTTGGAACTAAACTCTGTAGGCCTGTGGTCCTCCAGGCACTGAGTTTGACACCCTGTGGAGGGTTTTTTTTCTGTCCCTCCTGACGTCACTGATTAACAGTACAGTGAATTATTTTAGGTTAAATAAATTAGCTTACTTCCAATCACCCATTGACAAATACCAGCAAAACAAAACTATCAAAAACTGTTATCAACACAAAGATGTGGTTAAAACCCTAAACTTATAAGTTATAGCTAAAACAAGAGTTCAGTGTAACGTAACTCACCTCTTCTGAAAACGGTTGAGATGCTAACGGACTTTTTACGAAGACACAAACCCATTTTCTATAAAGTAAATATTCAACAAACGTATTAATTACACGTAAGAAGGGTGTCAGGAACGTTTGTATCTATTATTTGTGTGATTTTGTTAACTAAACTTACCTGAAAGCAGTGAAAACAAGCGAGAGACGGTTTTGCTGTTTGTCCGTTGTCGATGACGTTCCTCGTTTCCATAGAGCTCGTTTCCATCTGATCACGCGACGCGCGCGCTCCTGTCTTTGAATGCGGCTCGAATGTTTACGCGCACGCGCATTACCATACACGGCAAAGGCACGCAGCTAGCAATTAAATAAACATCTAGAGTTATAACATGATTTTAAATCATGATTTTAAAACTCATAGCTCTATGGCCCATTCACTTCTATAGTTTTTTTTTTACCAACTACAAAATGAAGAATGGTTTATATATATATATATATATATATATATATATATATACACACACACACACACGTACTATATAACTATAATAATACAATTATTTATGACCTTAAGATTATTCTATAAAGAGCATGGTTTTCTTATAGAAAACTATATTATATATATGGTTACTGTATAAAAAACATTTTCATGGTTTTACTACAAAAACCATGGTTCATTTTATGGTTACTATGGTTTTACTACAAAAATCAAGGTTCATTTTATAGTTACTATGGTTTAACTACAAAAACCATGGTTAAACCAAGGTTATTGTAGTAAAAACCATGGTTTGATTGTAGTTACTATGGTTTTACTGTAAAAACCATAGTTATACTATGGTTCATTTTGTAGTTACTATGGTTTTACTACAAAAACCATAGTTAAACTATGGTTCATTTTGTAGTTACTATGGTTTTACTACAAAAACCATAGTTAAACTATGGTTCATTTTGTAGTTACTATGGTTTTACTACAAAAACCATAGTTAAACTATGGTTCATTTTGTAGTTACTATGGTTTTACTACAAAAACCATAGTTAAACCATGGTTACTACAAAAAAACCATAGTTACTACAAAAAAACCATGGTTAATTTTCGTAAGGGTACCCTTGCCTGTTGCAATGTGAAAATGAGATAAATAATGGACACAAATGAAAAACATGAATTTGTTTATTTGATTTCATTCATTTATTTATTTATTGTTGCCAAATGGACAGATCTTTTTATAGTTTCCTCGTTAGCAAACGTTAGCCTAGCTAGCTTGCCAAGCTATTTTCATAAATAACGTTAATCTGTAAGATCGTTTGTACCTTCATCTGTGACTGGAGGCCACTGCAGTCACAGATCAAACCAACAAGTCATTCTGCCTGGCTGTAGCTGTCATCGAGGGTGAGTTCGCGTTATCACCGAGGTTTGTTTACATACCGGTGCATATGTCTATATGCCTGTGTAACAGCTCAGTAATGGCGCCGCCACAAGATGGCAGCCTACACAGAACGCTCGTCGGATTCGTCTATATACTAGCATTATACTAGCGTTATAGGCTAAACTGTTTTTAGAGATAAAACTATTTACATTCGGCAATCATGAAAACAAATCTCAGATAACGGTTGACTAGGTAACAATGCGTAATTACACCAAAGGTTCATTTTGCGCCGGAGTTGTCCTTTAAACTTTGTTTTTTTTTTTTTATTAAATGAGCGATCATTTCGCTTGATAAGACTCTTATTCATCGTCTGGAATCGTTTAAAGCCCTTTGAACAGTTTGCAGTTAGCGCTGAAAGTGTCTCGAACCGTTTGGTTCCCACTGAAGTGCATTTTATGGAGACATGAAAGTTAGAGAGTCCCTTTGAATTGTATGTCAGTCTTTTGGTTGAGCAGTTACTGTATGTGACGGATTTAGATATTCAGAGAATTTGCCAGCTGACACAAAATGATTTGTAAAACTCCTGTTTGCACTGAGAAAGGGGAAGAGATACTGTACAGTAGACATGTTGTGTTACAGGCATAATATATAAACTTGTATTTACATCTTGTTTGGGTTGCAGCTCTTGGCCTTCCTACAGGGTCTGTTCACATTCTACCATGAGGGTTATGAACTCGCCCATGAATTCGAGCCCTACAAACAACAGCTACAGTTTAACCTGCAGAATGTAAGTGCACATCTCCAGTGAGTCATCCAGCCTCTCTTTCACTGTTTCACTTAGCCTCCTTTTCACCAAAAATAAGTTTTCACTTCTGATAATATTTTTTAAAGCGACATGGTGTTCAAAAAAGGTATCCGCATATAAAAACCTTTTGCCCTCTGCTCTTTAGACTTTAACCCGCACTGTGTGTCTTTGATCAATATTTGCCCGTTACAAACCACTTCCTGCTGCTCGTCAGCATCTCTGTTTCGGGATCCATGACCTTTGACCTTTTCTTTGCATCACTGTCACAGTGAGCTCAAAGCTGATGTTGTGTCAGATTTTCAGCACAAAAGACCCACGCTGCTGCAGAACTGTGCCAGCACTGCGGCATATATACGCTGAATTAACACTGCTGTGAAAGCGTGAGACATTAGCCTTAAATGTAATTCACTACCGCAGGACAAGCACATTTAATATTGTAGGAGTGTCATTGATAATTCACATTGATGTATTTGGCTGTGATGTCAGTACTCCAGAGGACAAAAGAAGGAAATGAAGCCATTTCTTTTCCTTTCCTTCCAGCAATCGGTGTATATACACTATACAGTATATCAAGGGAAATTCATGGCTAGCTGTGCTTTTAGAAAGGGATGAAGTAAATATAATAAATACATTTGGACAGGTTGCAATACTACCTGGCTGAATGTTCTGTATATTATCCAGCTTATTACTCGCTACTTGCCACATAACTAAACAATTGGACACCAAATATTGAATTGTATTTGTCAAGACCAATTCACACTGCATCGCCATCGACAGACGCAAACCAACGCCGACATTCACAATGATCTGATGAAACCCGACGAAGAGTCTATTGGCGTTTGTCAGTGCGTTGTGAGACATCAAATCAAGGGATAATGTACAGGCATACCACATATTAAAATACGTTTCTCAAAATTAAATAATTGTGCAAGTATTACATATTGATTTGACTTGAAAATGTTTTAAAATCCATTACAGTGTACGAAACAATCATTTTAGCAACAAGGAGAACATTATAGTATTACAGTGCTTTAAAGGGGTCATGAAATGGCTTTTTAAATTATATGATGTCAACTGATGACGTTCGCTTGGTTTTTGCCTTCAAAAACATCCAAATGAATAAGTAATAGGCTATTTTGTACCCTAGTTTTGAGCCTAGCTGAAAAACGCTTGGTTTTTATGGGCGTAAACGCCAACTCCTGTAAGTGGATAACAGTTTTGCATATTATAATGAGTTTCAACTCACCCGTCGATGCACTTGGGGGAAATTAGTTAGTTAGTTAGCTATCCGTGTAATGCGCGAATCGGTGGGCGGGGCTAAACCGGCTGTGTTGAAGTAACCGTTAGTGAGGGGGTGCTGTTTTATCCTCTTTGACGTCATAGTTCCCCACTTTCACAAACGAAAAAGAGTCATTTGCTGAGCCTGGTGTCAATAAAAGCTTTTATTGGACTAACAAGGACGTTTTCAGTTCTGAAACTTACAGGATATTTTTATAATATGATGACCTCTTAGATGTCAAAAGCTCAAGGAAAATTTGATTTCTCAGTTCATCACCCCTTTAAAAACTTAAGTTTGCCACTTGAAAAGTCTTCTGAGTAATTATGAACCTGTATATAGTAGTTGTTAGTCCTCTGGGAGGTGTAATAAATAGTAATTATTGATTTTCTAATGGTGAACTACCTCATTACACTGAGCGCTATTATTAATTCATTAATCAGTGATGGAATGCTAATATTGTGTTACTCACTTGTTCCTGTGTAGTTATTCATTAATGATGGAACAGTATTCTAAAGTGTTACCAAAAAGTCTTTATTTCTCTGTAATTATGATTTGTGTGAAAAGAGATAACAATAATTGGAGTCTTACTGCCACTAGTGTTCATTACAGCTAACTGCGGTGAATTGTAGGTATTGGTGCGTTTTTGGAGTTTTGCAAAACCGTAGGTAGAGGCCAGTAAGCCTAGATTGCATGTGATTCTCGTGCCTGGGTTTCACAAATCAGTCATGTACAGTATGTGGTTTAATTTATGTCACTTATCTTTTGGAACAGATATTTTGGTTCTAATGCATGTTTATATACTGTAAATGTCTATTACCGGTAATTCAGTGTCATGTATGGTTTTAAATAAATTCACATCTGTCAGATCAATTATGAAAGGCTGTTTTAAAATGGCAGTTACATTGCTGAGATACGGTTCCCATGATCTGTTTGCATGTGTTTTTTTTTGTGCGTGTGTGTGTTAAATGAAGACAAGAAACAACTTTTTGAGCACCAAGCAGGAAGTAGAAATGCTGATGAAGAGAGTTCGATCTGCAGATCAGGACCAGAAGCCCCCGGGCCAGTGGACTATGGAGGGATACCTCTATGTCCAGGAGAAACGTGAGTGTCATATGGACCGTACTCAATATTTCAGGCAAGAGCGGTGAGCAAACAAAAGGACAGACAGCCTGTAACCTTCCATGCCAGACACTTTTTTTCAAAACATGGTGATAACAGGTCTAGAATTTTGTTTTCATTCGTCTTCATATTTATCTTTTCGGTTTCAGTTTATTTTCATGGTCCCTTTAACACATTCTCTTGACTATAAGTAGTATTGCACCCACATGTCATCTAACTCTCAATAGAGCTAGATGACATGTACAGTAGTTGCAAACTTGCAAAGTCACTTATAGTCAGTAGAATGTCTGTTTGAGGACAATCACAATAAAGAGTTTGCAACTAAATGTCAATTAACTCTCATTAGGGTATTAGTAGACTGTCTGCTTCATATCTGCTAACTTGTAGTCAACAGAATGCATCTTTGCTAAGTGACCTCTTTCTAGTCTTATCCTGTATTTTCCTGTTTGTTCACATTGCAAAGGAAATGCCAAAATAAAACCCACATGTAAACAGAATGATTTTGATTATCACCAGATAATTTCAGATACACAGAGAATGACCTGTTCTAGGAAAGAAAAACATTGCCCTCTTGTGGACTGATACTTCATACACAATGAAGAGTTTGCTAAATATATTGTTTTTATTTTTTTTTATCAAAATATGTACATGTTATCCAACATATATTAATAAATTTCAAAAATACAAATTATAAATACATATTAAGTGGCCAACATAGATTTTATTAATTTATTTATTTATTTATTTTATTATTTATTTCTATTCTAAAAAAAAATGAATGAAAATATTTATATCTAACATGTATTATGTTGGTGGAAATAGATTTCATTGCCTGTATAGCACTTTTTTTTATACTTTTGAGGAAAAAAATTATTTACAACATACATTATATAAAATAAAAACATTTTAATAGCTTTTATGCTGCAAATGAACAAAGTTGTCCCCAAATACCTCAAAGCAAGTATATCACATTTGCACTTTTCATGTGTGTTGCAGGACCATTGGGGTGCACATGGACACGGCATTACTGCACATATGAGAAAGTTAATAAGACCTTCAGCATGTGCAACACAGAGGCGAAGCCCACAGCTAAACAGGTACAAAGATGCTCATGTGGGATCACAGGTGCTGTTTGCTGCTTCAGATCCTCACTGTCTGTCTCTCTCGTCTCACAGAATGGTGTCATGTCAAATCCCCCAGAGAAGTTCAGACTGAAGTCCTGTATTAGGAGGAAGACTGACTCGATTGATAAACGCTTCTGTTTTGATATCGAGGTTGTTGAAAGGTGGGTGTCTGCAGTGACAGCACAGCCCAGACGTTTTAAAACGTTCAAATATTTCATCCAAATGATCATTTTGTCATTATTTATTCAAGTTTTAAAGAATGTCCAGGCCATTTTTACCATTTAATATAATAGAAATCACCTAAAGGATTGTTAGGAACACCGTACTAATACCCCTTTTGCCTTCAGAACTGCCTTAATTCTATGTGGCATTGATTCAACAAGGTGCTGAAAGCATTCTTTAGAAATGTTGGCCCATATTGATAGGATAGCATCGTGCAGTTGATGGAGATTTGTGGGATGCACATCCAGGGCTCCCGTTCCACCACATTCCAAAGATGCTCTATTGGGGGCCATTTTAGTACAGTGAACTCATTGACATGTTCAAGAAACCAATTTGAAATGATTCAAGCTTTGTGACATGGTGCATTATCCTGCTGGAATTAGCCATCAGAGGATGGGTACATGGTGGCCATAAAGGGATGGACATGGTTAGAAACAATGCTCAGGTAGGCTGTGGCATTTAAACGGTGCCCAATTGGCACTAAGGGGCCTAAAGTGTGCCAAGAAATCATCCCCCATACCATTACACCACCACCAGCACCACCACCAGCAGCCTGCACAGTGGTAACAAGGCATGATGGATCCATGTTCTCATTCTGTTTACGCCAAATTCAGACTCTACCATTACAGAAATCGAGACTCATCAGAACCGGCAACATTTTTCCAGTCTTCAACGGTCCAATTTTGGTGAGCTCTTCCAAATTGTAGCCTCTTTTTCCTATTTGTAGTGGAGATGAGTGGTACCCGGGGGGTGTTTCTGCTGTTGTAGCCCATCCGTCTCAAGGTTGAGTGTGTTGTGGCTTCACAAATGCTTTGCTGCATACCTCGGTTGTAACGAGTGGTTATTTCAGTCAAAGTTGCTCTTCTATCAGCTTGAATCAGTCGGCCCATTTTCCTCTGACCTCTAGCATCAACAAGGCATTATCGCCCACAGGACTGGATGTTTTTTTCCATTTTCACACCATTCTTTGTAAACCCTAGAAATGGTTGTGCTTGAAAATCCCAGTAAAATACTCGAAAAATACTGTGAAATATTGAGACCGGCCCATCTGGCACCAACAACCATGCCACGCTCAAAATTCTGACATTCAGTTTGGAGTTCAGGAGATTGTCTTGACCAGGACCACACCCCTAAATGCATTGAAGCAACTGGCATGTGATTGGTTGATTAGATAATTGCATTAATGAGAAATTGAACAGGTGTTCCCTAGACAAGTGTGTATTTGTGATGTGGCCGGGGAAAATGTTGCCAACAGAAAAAGTCCTTACTGGTTAGCACAGACAAGTCTTCAGAATTGAATTGATTGATTGATTGATTGACAGCTATAGATAGATAGACAACTTTAGGGAGAGTAAATGATGACCAAATAGATGTTTTTGGGGTGAATTCCTTTTCCTATGACATTTGCTATAGTTTTTGTGTCTTTGTGTGCTCTGTTTTCTGCATGCTCCTTGTGCCTTTTTTCACACTAACTGTACAATGTGTCTTCTATGTAATCTAACTGTATAATCTTCTGTTTTTACTTGCATCTGCCTTCATGGCACAGTCTTACAATATTAGGTGGCAAATATGTATGCATTTATATATGTGTTATTACACTGTGCACACTCAGTAGAACTAAAACTCAGCCAGACCTGTATGTTGGTAAGTAGCTGCATATGTAACTTCTTGTCTGTTCATGTTCTTTGCCACCTAGTGTAAGGTTGCACTGTTGTTTTCTGACAGATTACCTTGTATGTGCCCATTTCCCTTGTCCCTTCTCTGTGTTTATTTCAATCTAGAAATACCATCTATCGTGGATCTCTTTTCAGACCACTGCAATTTTTCTGTAAAGCCCGGTATGTGACCAGACCTGTGCCCTACAGCTAAAAAAGCATGTTGTAGCGCATGTGTGCTGCATTCCAAATCCCACGCTGATCAAAGCTCATTTCTCACCCCGGTGGTTTTAAAGGATTGCATGTTGAAAATCCAGCACATTTCCTGCACCCATAATTGGTGGGATAACAGTTTGATTTGATTTAACTGGCTGAGTGATTCTACCAACTCATTTTTGATCTGGATATCAAGGAACAAAAATCACATCATCAAATCAACATTATACACCAGGCTGAAAAAAAAAAATGTTGAAACCCCAACATTTTCAATAATTTAACAACACTTTCGCAATGTTTCAATGTAAGTCTTGGATGTCTTTTAATTTATTTCATATTTATTTTTAGTAAGTGTTAATTTTTTTTAATGATATGATAAATAGAGCCAGCCTTCAAAAGTTATTAACCTGTCATTTTTTTTCTCTCTCTCACGTCCAGACACGAACTTATGCACATATGTTGATTGTCTTTACAACATAATACTATTTCATATAATCTAGCTATGGAATGAATAACATTCAATACAAAATGAACATGTCTCGTATATAAAAATAATGTTTTAAGTGATAAAACATTTGCTTTGTTGTTGCATAATCCCACCATGCATTTAGTCATATTAACAAAATAATTTATTGAAGCATCCACACTTCACCACGTGAGCAAGCAGCTAGGCTTCCTGATTGGTTAACGCGGCGCTAATTCACGCCAAAGTTCAGATTTTTCAACTCGGGCGGCAGACGCAAATTCGCGTCAAACGCGTGAATGCACAAATGGCACTAACTGAATCATTCGCGCTTAACGCGCCAGACGCTCAATTCGCGCGAGAATGAGGCGTATTTGCGTCTTCCGCGCCGCGCTCCACGCCTCATTCGCGCCGCAGGAATTTTTCACGCGAGTAAAGCGTCTTTGCATTGACTTAACATTGAAATCATTCGCGCCTGACGCCCTATTCACGTCCGGTGTGAACGTAGCATTATGATGCATTGCGACAAGCTCTGCACTGTAAAAAAAAAACATTTTCAAGGTTTGTTATCACAACATATTTTCTTT